CGGCGATCACCTCCCTCGCAGCATTCTCCAATAGCAGCAACACCTTTGGCGGCCTCCATTTCCAGCAGCAACAACACAACCGCCTCCATTTCCAGCAGCAACAACACAACAGAGGTTTTTTGTATTAGAAACTTAAAAGTTGAAGAAATGGGACAAATAACGGTCTTTTTGATAAACATATATGTTTTTCTATTCTTTATAGTACTTTATATTATTATGCAATTGTTACACATCTATTTCATGCTTAGGATCTCTATAAATCATTAAAAATATATTTGTAGAATTTTTAAATTTTTCTATCTTATTTTTCAGAATATTTAAATATATCTAAATTTAACCGTTATTTGACTCTGCGCTATTTACCGCTATTCTGCAGCAATAGCCCCAAATAGCCTTAGCGGAACCTCGCCGCTACGCAACGCTATCCGCTATCTCAATAACATTGATAATGTCACAACAGATTATAGAACAAATATTGTTACACCAGATCATAGTGGCATGGAACCCCGTCGTTCCGGTTCACGGAACAGGAATGGGAGGATGGTACGCCACTTATTAATTGGATATGAGGGTGTAGGCTTATATGGTACACTAGGGAACATGGTACGTTTTAGGTTTGGTTTTTAAATGAAGGAACCCAAGTGCCTTAATGTACAATTTTCCGCAACAATCAAGTTCAAGGATCAATAATGGTAAAAGAAGTTGACAAGGACAGCCAAGTTGCGGAATAAAATGTGAGATGATCGATTCAATGATTGCTTAGTGATATATATTGAGAAGATGTATTCAATAGTGCTGCAAATGATGTGATTATGTACTTTCTTCTAAACTTGAAAACTCGCCAGGGAAAGATGTATTCAACAGTGTTACGAATAATGCGATGATGTACTTTCTTCTAAATATGAAAACTCAACGGGGAAAGTCCTGGATCCACAGCTGAACATCTACATTGCTAAATGGAGGCCAGTAATTTAACGCGGAACATGAGAGATGCCAAAAGAAGGTGTTCTATTAAAAAGATAAGTGTCTTCAACAGAAAACATAGTGTTCAGTCAAAATAAAAACTTGAGCAGAAAAAAGTAAATATTCAATTGGCCCTAAACATCATGGACAACAAAATATCAGACCGATGAACTCATCACTTGTGCTCCAAATTGTCTATCTACATTTTTCTACTTCAGGCTCATGGAAACCCATGTTGCTTCTTTTGCTTTTCCCTAATTTCCTGCTCAGCAAGTTAAAAAAATCAACTAAGATCCATATTACCAAAGTGAAGGCAAACCATAAAACGACACCACTACGGAAATAACCACATGTACTTTTATTGTTACAAAGCAAAAGGAGGAGAAATGTACCGAACTTGGCATCTTAAACAAACCAACCTTCCTCAGGTTTTTATACAAATATCAAAAGAATCGAGATAGCATGACTAACATCACTAAAGGATGGGACTTCAACTAGAAGCACCCAGCCCTGACTAGCAGTACTCATGTTCCCAACTCCGAAAACATGATATGGATGAATGATATAAAGTTTAAAAAGCTCAAACAGCATATTACACATTGAAAGCAAAAAAAAAAAGTAAAATAAGAGTGAACTCCAAGAATTTTTCACCAAATTTCATTAATCAAACTAACAAAAACAGCCATTACGGTCGGGAAAAAAACATAAAATCCACGCAAATGCTTAAAATCCAAGCTTTGGCCAAAAAAACAAAAGGAAAAAGAGATTTAAATAATACCTCGGAATTATAAGATTCGGGTTTCTACCAAACCCAATTCATTAAATTGAAGAGATAAGGCTCTCAATTCAACTATACCTGGTACGAAAATCCAGCATAAACCAGGATTAGCTTTAGGTCTACTCGTCCAATCAATGAAATAATAATTACCCCAACGAAATGGATCAAGAACTCCCACCCAAAATTATGGGGTCAGAAAACGTCAGATCTCGAATTCCAACCTTCAGAACTGGGATTTGAATTCCGAATCCAGACCGCGGATCTGAGGGTCAAGACGCGATGAGATTTTGGCGAGAAAACGGGATCGGAGACGACGATCCCGCTTCCGCGGAAGCTGCTTAGATCGGGAGCTTGAATGAATCAACAGAGAAGAGGAAGAAGAAGGAGAAGCGTTAGGGTTTCTAGTTTGGCTGCAAGAGCCGAAAGAAAAGGAAAAATGCATTGGACTCTTCCCATTTGACGCGAGATGATTACCCGGTTCGGGTTTCGTACCCGCATCAGTCCCCAAACTGTGGACGGGTCGGACTTGCTTCTAGAAAATTAACACGAGTGTTATTCAACCATTTTATGATATGCAAATAGGTACTTCCCATGTGAAGTAGAATGAGACAGAAATTTTTTTTTTCCACCAAAAGTAATAATATTTTTTTGAAAACAACAACTAAATCTACTTCTTCTTAACTAAAGGAGAACACTGAAGGAGAACTTAATGAACAGTAAATCACTGTTGGACCAATCACACGGATTTGTCAACTCAGCCGAAATTCTCTCCCACGCCCATTTCCCAAACTTCCCACGTTACCACATTCTCCAAACTACTCTTTATGTCTCTCTCTCTCTCTCTAAACTTCCCCCAATCTTCATTCTCTCTTCGAACCCAACCAAATCTAAACCCAAAAACAATGGAGAACTCCACCGCTTCATCATCAATCTCAGATCCCACCATCGCTGATATCTCCGACCGCCAAACAAATCCCTAGAACCACCCCTTCTTTTGTCGCCGATACCCCATCTCCTCCTCCGACGTCTCCATCGTCAAATGCTTCCTCCGCCGTCCTTAGACCTCGGAGATCGTGCCGCCCTCGATTTTGCAGGACAAGTTCGCCGGTAGGTTCTATTCCCCTTTTTCTTTCTCACCCGTTTATGTAGGTTAAGAAGCTGTCCTTTTGTAGCGCTTTTGACGGAATTTTTTCTTAAATTTATGTTATTGATCGTTGACAAATCTTGCTACTCTTCTTTGGGCGGTGAGGTTACCGCTGCTAAAAAAAATTATGTTATTGATCGTTGACAAAGCTTGCTACTCTTCTTTGGGCGGTGAGGTTACCGCTGCTAGAGATGGGGGGGAGCTGCTAGAGATAGGATATTTTGGTCGGGGTTTCTTGATACTGCTAACTTCAGCTTCTTGCAAGCTTGAGGCTTCGCTCAATTTTGTAAGTTTTTATTGTTTATGGTTGATTTTTTTTTTTTTGGGGGGGGGGGGGGGGGAAAGTTGAGATTTTGATTGATTTTGGTGTATGGGTTTTGTTCGTTTGATTGTGGATTAGTGAAGATGCCTTTGCCTGGAGCCGTACCCGGAGGCGAATTCGGAGTTCTTGAGGGCTAATGGGATTAGATTGTTCCAGTTTGGGATGACGAGTGTAAGGTAATTTTTATTTTTACAATTTTTTTGTTGAATTTTGGTTTATTTTCATTAATATGGAGTTGAATCGTGTTTTTTAATATGGAGACTAATGAGGAATCATTTGAAGCCAAACATAAACTTTAGCTTCATTGAATCTTATGTGACACAAAAAGGCAAATGCTTTCTAATTTATGGTTCATTATAGGCCCTTATTGATCTTTTGCTACGAGCTACCGATAAATATGTTTCTCAATTATATTTAGTATTTTTAGCATTTTGCTTTGATTGGTTTTTCATCAACATTTGGCAAGTTCTTATATACTTCATTTACTACACTATTGCTAGCATTGCATTTTCGTATAAACTTATTATTTAAGAACAGAAAAATAAAAAATACATGTGTTTCTCATAAAAGTTTATTTACAATATAAAACTTCTGTTTTAAAGAGTCATTGTTGTAGATAATATAATGAAAAAGAACAACTAGTAGAGAAAGCATATCATTAAGATATCAAAGCAGACAAGGGAAGCAAGTGTTATGATTATAATGGTTACTAATACATAGAAGACCATACTATGCGGGATATAACATGCACAACATGATTACGAGTTCAAAAGATTGACAAAAATTAGCATATGTATCTTGCCCTTTGTACAATGTAATGACACACATCATCATGTAATTGAGTGGCTTCATCAAAGATCATATCATAATCATATCACAATCTTCATAGAGTGAGTCTCTTATGATTGCATCATATCGTTTGACCAAAGTTCAAGTTGGCATTTGCTCTATACTCAAGATTGGCTGGCAGTTTCCATCTTAATTAGTCTTGAGGATTCCAATGCTTATGATGTAGGCTTTAATTGATCATCTTGGTTGTGTAGAGTCGAAGATACTCCTCTTCACATGGAAAATTCATTGTCCTTCACCCAGGACAATCTCCTTTTATATCAAGAGAGTTAATATCAAGAGAGTTAACTAGCACAAAAGTGCAAACAATGCCAACATGAAGAACAATTCATAATTCCCTCAAATAGAACTGCTTCACCCCTAATTCCAACAATCATTAAACCAGAAACTCAATTGAGCATTACAAAGCAAGCTCGAATAGAAAGCTAAAGCCTATCCAACAATTCCATCTTGCATCATTTGTTTTAATGAATTAAAATAGAAGGAGCACTATTTTTTCCTTTTAGCTAATTGGTTCTTTGAATAACTCTTCCTGAAAATGGTTTTGCTTCCTTTTTTACAACACTGAGGATCTTTTTTCAACATAATTACATTGCTTCGATTGGTGTAACCATGCTTTGCTTCCTGATCATAGTCCTTACTTCACTAAATTTTTTGGAAATTCATTAAAAAAAGAACTGACACTAAATCAAAGAAGACAAAAGTAGATTTTTGGGCTTTCTGGCTAGCTGCACTTTCTGTAAAGAAGGATATCTAGAGATCGATACCTTAATTTTTTGTATCTTTTAATTAGTCCAACAAAAGATCTACTTTTTAGAGGAATTGATTGATATATAAATCATGGTGAAGAATTTGATCTAAATTCTAATTTTTTGCACCTCAAATTGTTGGTTTTTGGATTATTTAGTTACTTCTTTTAGCATGGTGAAGATGCTAATTTCTATTTATAATGATGGTTTTTGGATTATTTAGTTACTTCTTTTAGCATGGTGAAGATGCTAATTTCTATTTATAATGATTAATTTTGATTTAGTTAATCTAGTTACTTCTTTTAGCATGGTGAAGATGCTAATTTCTATTTATAATGATTAATTTTGATTTAGTTAATTTTAATAATGTCTAATTCTGATCATGTTACCAACCCTTATGTTTAAATTTGATTTAGTTAATCTTTTTTGCTTTTTTTAATGAAGATTTGGTTGCTAAGTTTTAATGGTTTTGTTTGTTCGTGGGTTAGGGATTGAAGATTAATTACGTCAGAGATGATGATGGATGGATCGAATCGGAGTGTCAACTCGGTTCATCACAGTTATGAAACGGTAACTTTATTTCACTTTACAAATTTGAATTTTAGATAAAAATTTTTACACATTTATGCACTGAAAAAATTGACCATTATTGTGCTAATTCGGTTTTAATTTTGAGTAGTTATTTAATCTTTAGAAATTTGGTTAATGAAGTAGTTATCAAATCTAACTTGATCGAATATCTAGACGAATAATAACCAAATTGTTTTTTAATTATTCGGTTCACTTCCTTCACTGTACTTCATATCTAAAGCAGAATACTTTATTTTGGTAACATATTCAATATTTGCAGAAAATCTTTTAGGAACCGTGCTTTGCACGGATCTGAATACTAGTACAATCAATTACAAGATACAATCAATTGTAATTAACTGTTAAAATTAATTAGCAGTAATTAATTACAACTTAATTAACAACAATTAAATAAATGCAATAATTAATAATAATTAAAGCAATTAATTACAGATTTAAAGTTATTTCGGATGACTAGTAATTCCAGATTTTTTTTGATGAACAGTAACAGATTAACAGTAATTAACAATAACTGCATTTTTGGGTAAACAATAACTTATGAACAGTAACAAAACACTGCGTGAACTGTAACTAGTAAACATTAACAATTACTTAGTTTTTTTTATTTAAAGTAACAAATAATTATGAATTATAATTATTTTCAGATTTAATAATTAACATCTATAATTGTTCAATCTTCTAGATTGTTAAAAAAATATCAAATAAAATTATAGCATGTACAATAAATCCGAAATAATATAATAAGAAAGTCTGACCTGATCGGGAGCAGTCGTGTAAACACTCCTAGAAGATTGAGGACCCTTCTATCGCCCTGGTGCAGATGATCCTCTCTCCCCTAGCGGTAAAACCCTCCGAAAACGGCCAGCCTCTGTACTCGGGCAAGAGAACAGAGCTTCAGCTCAGACGAAGAACGGTTGCCCAAAAATAACACCAACATATGAACGGAAAAAATATGCAGAGGAGAGAAGAGGGAAAAGAGAGAATTGTTTCTATATCTTTTTCGAAAGTGAATAAGGGGTGTATATATAAGGTTGATGTAGGCAATAAAAATTGCCTTTAAATCCTTATCAGAGAAGTTCAGAACAAAACTGCTAAAACCTCGCCTGAAATAGCAAAAAGGGGAAAAATGATAAAAAATGGGAAAAATGCAGATACCTCCCAAACCGTAAGGAATTTGGCGAAACGGAAAAAGCAAACCAAAGCCTTTGGCTAGGTTCGGATGGCTCCGTCTCGTCGACATAGGCGATTTTCATATATAATTCGTCCAATTCCGACTTACAGTTTGAAAGTTACGGCCTATTCTTCGATCCATGCTCAGGAGCTCGCCTGCAGCTCGAATTTCGCCTGCACGATCAAGACCCAAGTCTGCCTGCACACCTGAGCTCGCCTGCAGACCTAGTTCGCCTGCAAGCTCGCCTGTAGACCCAAGTCTGCCTGCAGTCACAAGCTCGCCTGCAGACCCAGCTCGCCTGCAAGCTCGCCTGCAGACCCAAGTCTGCCTACAGTCACAAGCTCGCCTGCAGACCCAAGCTGCAGACTCGCCAGCTCACTGTCAACTGCCCACTTGGAGTATGGGAGCTCGCCTGCAAGCTCGCCTGCAGACCCAAGTCTGCCTGCAATCACAAGCTCGCCTGCAGACCCAGCTCGCCTGCATGCTCGCCTGCAGACCCAAGTCTGTCTGCAGTCCCAAGCTCGCCTGCAGACCCAGCTCGCCTGCAAGCTCGTCTGCAGACCCAAGTCTGCCTGTAGTCCTAAGCTCGCCTGCAGACCCAGCTCGCCTGCAAGTTCGCCTGTAGACCCAAGTCTGCCTACAGTCCTAAGCTCGCCTGCGGACCCAAGGTGCAGACTCGCCAGCTCACTGTCAACTGCCCACTTGGAGTATGGGAATAGTTACATCAGTGGTCAAATCAGACTCGCCAGCTCACTGTCAACTGCCCACTTGGAGTATGGGAATAGTTACATCAGTGGTCAAATCCCATGAATCAAGGGAGAAAGCATGGCGCTCCTCACCTAGCAAGAATAGAGCGGCTGACAGGACCCCCTAAGTGGTCACATATCCCACAGCTAGGGCGGCTGGCTCCCTCACCTCTATTAGTGGTCAAATCCCACGAATCAAGGGAGAAAGCATGACGCTCCTCACCTAGCAAGAATAGGGCGGCTGACAGGACCCCCTAAGTGGTCACATCCCACAGCTAGGGCAGCTGGTTCCCTCACCTCTATTAGTGGTCAAATCCCACGAATCAAGGGATGGCCCATGCCATCCCTTGCCTATTAAGACCCATCTTCAGCCAGCATGAAGAGGGGGGATTGGCTGTTGCATATTCTGCTGGCTAATCTCCCAAAGGTTGAACCTGGACTTTTGCTAAAGGCTCCCTCATTTGAGAACTAAAGCTCCGGCAGCAACTTCGATCAGATCGTCCAAGGGAAGCAGACTCGGCACGAGCACCGAGCGAGGCGTCCTATCGCTACCTAGGAACCCACGTTAAACAAGGAGGGCATTCCCTCCGCTTCTGTTGTAAACATTTGATTATTAGTTTGTAATAAGCTGTTCTTATCAATACAAACGAGATCCCTGTTTCCGGGAGATCAAAATTTACACATACAGTTGAGAAAGCCATTATAATTCCTACAATTAATACGGTAACGGTTATCATAAATTTTCGTAACGTTCCCCATAATGTATAGCCATTACGCACGTTTTAATTGTATTCATAACACTATTCCATTTGGGACTATTCATGAAAGCAAAATTGTCTTTTCTCCAACAAAATATCCAACAGGCTTATCTTCGTGGTTATTTCTTTGGTGAAATGACAACAATTGGAAATTTAGAAAGGATCAATGCATTACAAATTTGCTTAAATGTTTGAGCTAGTTTATCAAGCAAGTAAGTTTATGTATTAGTTCATTAAGAAAATAAACTATTATACATCGCATACTTTTATTTACATCATTTATTTCCATCACTTAATTTAATTAGTAAGTTTAATTATGTATCATGTTTTTGGTTATAGAATTTCTTTTGTTATCCGTTTATGTGTTAATTACATTTATTTCATAATGTATGTGGTTTGTAGGTTGATCTTGCCATTGAAGATATTGAACAAAAGCAACCGCATGGTAGTATGTTGGCTATATGTATGCGATCTTCTTTAAGGACTTCATTTCCATTAGAAGAGCAAGCACATAATGCCTTAATACCAATTTCCTTTAAGAATTTTCAGGAAGAGTTCACAAGGGCTACTCAATATGTGGTGTTTGAGTATTTCACTAATAAGTTTGTGGTGCAATATTATAAGGAGGAAAGTAGCCAAAAGCAATGGTTATTTGGGATTATCACGTGGCTACTTTTAGTTTCGTGCATTTTGAGGTTTGGGGATTAATCTTTGTCATCATATATCAGGTGTCTTTCTTCACGGAGATTGCTTTACAATTCCTTCTATATATTTTCCATTGCATTGGCATCGTGAAGCTTAGTGAAGCTTAGTAAAATTTAGGAGGGTTGATTTTGCAAGGAGAAGGATGTGATGCTAGTATTGTCGAAATGGTTGATCATGTTCATTATCCTCCAATTTCAAAGACAAAAGGGCGTCCTGAATAAAAATGTTTAACATGTAGAAAGGAATTGGAAAAACAAGGAAGGACTTCTAGAGGTCATGAAGCAGTTAGCCGAAATGATAACTAGAGTGTTGGTCTCGTAGAACGCACTTATAAGAATAAGAGAAATATTGTGGAAAATGAAATCTTAAATCCCATTTTTGCTATGAAATTTTAGTGTAGTATGTTTTGTTTAAATATTTTGACTTACAGAATCTTGCAGAAAATGAAATCTTAAATACCATTTTTGCTATGAAATTTTAGAGTAGTATGTACTGTTTTGATATTTTGACTTACACTTTTTTATTTTGTCGGAATTTACAAATTTGAGTTTGGAAGTGGTATTTTATTGTTAGTTAAGTACAACTATATTGTGCATATATAGTTTAAATAATCACGTGACTAAACATATTTTACGTAGTTCTTAAATGTCTCATAGTTTACTAACTTTGCACTTACCTACTATAAATGCAACAAATGAAAATGAGGGTAGCAGTGATATTTAAGCTTATAACCTATTCCTTATATTAGACTTTAAAATACGGCTTAATTGCACTTATATACAGTACAGTCTCCCCTCCTTTACACTTATACATCTTATATTTTAATCTACGCTGTACTTAATTCTTAATATTTGTTTAATTTATCAAAAATACTATTTTAAAGTAGAATTATGCTGAGTTTAATTTCGAGTTACATTATCCCAACAATAAATTTAACAATAGTTAAGTGCTGAAAATAGTATATTTCTTCTTTGTTCTACGAGTGCGATTACGAGCGCTGAATTGATATATTGTTACATGGAGGTCGAAGAGCAGCCCAGGATCGGTGCTAAATCATTCTCGTGTACGCGGGACGGGAGAGACAGCGAGAATCATTCTCGTGAACGTACGCGAGAATTATTCTCAGCTCCCTCCCCAAATTCTCCCCGAACCCTAAACCCTACCTCTCTCATGGATCTCACCGATGACAGCTCTCGCCATTTCCTCCTCTCGAGCTTCCTCTTCTCCTCCTCCCCCGCCAGATCCGTCGTCTTCGAATCGCTCCTCAGGCCAAGCCCTGGGTCTCCAATCGAACCTCCTCCTCCTCCTCGGTCTTCAAATGGTGGAGATTCGTTTCTGAAGGAATCGACGAGCGAGAAGGGGAAGATCGAGCTGTACTCGCCATTGTACTACGCTGCTTGCACAGTGGGAGGGATCGCTAGCTGTGGCCTCACTCACACGGGTGTCACTCCTCTCGATCTCGTCAAGTGTAATATGCAGGTCGGATCATTTACTGAATCTTTTGTTTTTTTCCTTCCAAGAGCATTGATGAATTTGGGTGGATATATCATTGTTGATTTTGTACTTGGTGATGGGATTTGGGTTCTTGATGTTGGGACAAACCTGGGGCCCAACAGAGCAATGTCCTAGCGAATAGTAGAGCCGAAATAATAAAATAAATACTCAGATTTATGTGAGAAACTCCCTAAATGAAATTGGGGTAAAAACCACAGGTAATGATGGAAGAATCCACTATGAAAAAAATTATGAGTTACTCTCTCTCTTTTCAAGGAGAAACTCTCTCTATTTTTCACTTTTTCTCTCTCTTTTTACTCTTAATTGGAGACACTAGGATTATATGAACTTAACGCTGGAGAGAGCTATATATAGGTGAGTTTGTAGTAGGTGTGCGCTGTTACTACAGTATTACTACAGTAACATTTAACGGGTCTACGATTGGTGATTTTTCACACCATTCTTTCCGTCTTGCCATCTTCATGTTGTTCACGTCTCCGACAGATCATAAGAGGATCAACACTAAAAATAAATTTGTCAATATTGACTGTTTTTGTCAAAAAATCTACTAGTTTGTTTTTTGTATGAATTTTCTGCATATCTACTATTTCTTCTTCTACTTTCTCACGAATGATGTGGTACTAAACTCGAATGCGTTTTGTCTTTGAATGAAAGGTTGGATTTCTTACCAAATGTAAAGCACTCTGGTTGATATAAAATAGAGAAATCTTTTTTTATTCATGTCCGAGTTCCTCCAATATCATTTTCAACCATATTGCCTCTTTACTGGCTTGCGTAGCTGCGACATATTATGCTTATGTTATTAATGTAGCATAACTGACTGTAATTTTAAAACCCAGCTTACAGCTCCGCCAGCAAGTGCAAATATATAGCCTGTGGTGAATTTGCTATTATCACAATCACCTGCATAATCAGAATTAACATATCTATTGATAATAAAATCTGATTCCCTATAACATAATACAATATTTAAGGTTCCCTTAATGTATCTTAGGATCCTCTTTACAGCATTTTAATGCTTTTTACTAGGATTCGCCGTGTATCGACTAACCACTTACTCTGTTTGTGCAATGTCTGGTCTTGTACAAATCATAGCGAACATTAGACTTCACACTGCTGATGCATACGGTAGTCGAGACATCTTCATCCTTTCTTCTTCACTGCTAGGACTCATACTGGAGGATAACTTAAAATTAACAGGAAATGGGGTAAAAATTGACTTACAATCTTGCATGTTAAAGCGTCGTAATATTTTCTTCAAATAATTCTTCTAATACGATCTTTGTTAGGGTCTGCAATTAACATATCGTCAACATACAACAAAAAGATAACAAAATTATTTTTACCAAACCTCTTGAAATATGCACAAGAGTTTGAATTAAGTCTGTTGTATTCAAGGCTCATGATGAATGAATTAAATCTCTTGTACCAACACATTAGCGTCTGTTTTAGACTGTATAGAGATTTGTTTAATCTGCAAACTAACTCTTTTTCTTTGAAACCATTTGATTGGAGCATATAAATTTCTTTTTTAAGATTCCCATGAAGAAATGCTATTTTCACATCTAGCTGTTCTAGATGTAAGTTTAATATAGCGCTCCTAGCCATAATTATTTGGATTATTATAAGTCAAACAATAGGAGAAAATATTTTATTAAAGTCAATACCTTCTTTCTGAGTATATCCTTTTATTACCAATCTAGCACGATATCACTCCACTTAATCATTTCCAATTTCGCTTGATGATGTAGACCCATTTATTTTTAATAGCCAACCTTCCTTGTGTTAGTGATACAAGTACCCAAGTCTTATAATTATGAAGAGCTTCAATTTCTTCCTTCGTTGCTGTCATCCACAAAGATGCATTTGTGTTGTTTATAGCTTCATAGAAAGTTGATGACTCTCCATCCTCTGTTAGAAGACAGTACGCAACATTACTCTTCATAATATACTCCGAGTGTCAAGTCAGTGGTCTTCTCTTACTAGTTGACCTTTGAATTTTTGGAGCCTCGGACTCGACTGATTCTTATACATCATGCTCTGGTATTGTTTTGATTATTTTCTACCTGAACAGCTATAGTCTCTGAGTTTTTCCTTGAACAACTTTATTTCTCTTTACTTTGTAGTTGGTTCTCTATAAAGATAACATCTCTGTTACCGAAAATCTTATGGGTAGTGGGATCCCACAAGCGATACCCTTTTAATCCGTCAGCATGCCCCAATAATATGTATTTTCTGAATTTTAAATCTAGCTTTGTAATTTCTTGGGCATTGGAATTACGTACACTGGACTTTTAAATATATGGATGTTAAAATAATTAGCTGGCTTGCCGATCCATATCTCCATCGATGTTTTTAACTGTATTGCGGTTGATGAAGATCGATTCATCACATAACAGGAGGTTTTTATTGTTTTCACCCAAATAACTTTATTTAGATTTGTAGTTATCAACATTACTCTTATTCTTTCCAACAGAGTTCTGTCCATCCACTCTGCTATTCCATTTCATTGAGGAGTGTATGCAGTACCGAATTATCTTTTGATGCCTTCTTGCTTGCAGAATGCAAGAAATTCACCGTCTGTGTATTCTCATCCATTATTTGACCTTAAGCACTTGATCTTCTTTTTAAATTCAAGCTCGACTCGCGCTTTGTAAGCTTTAAAAACTGAGAAGACATCTGCTTTCTTCTTGATAGGGTACACACAATATCTTCTGAAGTAATCATCAATAAATGATACAAAGTACTTTGCTCCTCCGATAGATGTAATTGGTGCTTGCTACACATCAGAATAAACTAGTACAAGAATAGCCTTGCTTCTAGAACTCGATGTGTTAAACTTTAGTCAATGCTACTTACTTGTAACACAATGCTCACAGAAAGAAAGTGCTACCGATTTAAGTTCAAGCAACAACTTTTGATCGGAGAGAATCTTCAAGTCTCGTTCTAACATGTGGCCTAGTTTACGATGACACATCATAGTTTGTTCTTCTTCATGGCTAGTTGATGTCACACATGAATCAGCTTCCTGCATGATTTCTTCCTTGAGTATATATAGATTTGCAGCTATCTTTTCTCCTTTTATCATAATAAACGTCCCTCTAACAATTTTTATAATCCTATTTTCTATATGGGTCTTGCATCAGAGCTCATCCAATTGTTCTAAAGACAATAGATTTTTCTTCAAGCCTTTCATATATCGTACATCTTGAATGGTGCGTATTGTATCATCAAACATTTTGATTTTGACAGTATCAATACTAAATTTTTTCAAGGCATGATCATTGCCTATAAATATAGATCCTCCTGAGATAGGTTTATATTTGTAGAATCATTCTCTCTGGAATGTCATATTCTAGGAAGCTGCTGAATCTAGAAGCCAGATATCAACAAACTTTTTTCTGCCTTCATTAACAGTGATTGCTCCATTGTATAAAATTTCACCATCGTCTGATGTGCTGACAACGCATCATTGAGATGTTAATGACTCTAAGGACTTTTTATCACCACCCTTATTATTATGCCAACACTCTGATTTCACGTTTCCCCTTTTGCCATAGTTGTAGTATTTGATATTTTTCTTACTTTTTGATTTTGATCTACCATGAGTATGACTTCGACTGGAACCACGTTCTATTGATCTTCCTCTCGTCACCGATAAAACTTCTGCTTGTTACAAACTTGCATGTCTGTCTTTCTTATTTTTGCGTTGATTTTCTTCCTCCAGAATAGTGATTGCAACGTTGTTGAAGACTAGATTGTCTGTAAGGACGTTATTGGTTAGGTTAATGATGAGCTGATCATACGAGTTAGTTAGACTCTGAAGTAGAAGTTTTGCATGTTCATTCACACCGATTGTATGTCCCAACGTTATGAGTTGGAAGAACAGTGTATTTAGGGTGTTGATGTGGTCAGTTATCGATGTAGATTCTGTCATCCTCAGAGTGTAAAGTCTTCTTTTTAAGAAGATTTTATTGTGCGGAGATTTAGCCTTATATAGCTTTGTTAGAGTGTCTTAGATCTCCTTTGTTGTCTTCTTCTCTTCTATGTTTGACAGCACCCCATCTGCTAATGCCAAATGGAGATTGACAGTAGTATTTTCGTCCATCTCATTCCATTTTTATCATCTGTGATGTCTTCCGACCTTGCACCGATGGCCCCTAGAAAAATATCTTTTCTCAAGATAGCTTTTATCTTTAATTTTCATAGTGAAAAATTACTCCCATTGAATTTTTCAATCTCGAACTTCATCGCCATTGCTTCTACCACGAACGGTAACTTCTACTATTTATGTAAATAATAACCATATTTGTGAACAGTAGCCGTACTCGTGAATACTAATTATACTGGTGAATAGTGTCATACTCGTGAATAGTACCCAGTGCCTTCAAAGGGTAAATGATAATCTAACTTATTTTCTGATATGAAGGATCCATTTTTAGTGACAGTCACAGAACATACGATAAGCAAATTCACGCACCCTAAGCCAGACTCTGATACCACTTGTTGGGACAAACCTGTGACCCAATAGAGCATGGTCTCAGCGACAAGTAGAGCAGAAGTAATAAAATGAACACATATTTACGTGAAACCTCCCTAAACGAATTTAGGGTAAAAATCACGGGTAATGATAGAATAAACCACTATGACGAAAATTTAGGAGTTACAATCTTTCTTTTCAAGAAGAAACTCTTTCTAATTTTCTCTCTTTCTCTCTCCCTCTCTCCCTCTCTCTTTTTTCACTCTTAATTGGAGACACTGGGATGATGTGAAATTAACGCTGGGGTGAGTTATATATATGTGAGTTTGTGGTAGGCGCACTGTGTTACGGTGTTGCTACAACAACATTTAGTGAGTCTGCAATTGGTGATTACTGTAGCGGATAGATGTTTACTGTTGGCACGACAACTTTCCATCACTTGATTGTTCTATTTCTTGAATCCTTTGTTTTTTTAGGGCATTGATGATATGTCGTTATATGATTCCTTTGTATTACGTGCTAGAATTTGGGTTCTTGATGATTTGGTTCCTTTGTATTACGTGCTAGGATTTGGGTTCTTGATAATTTGGTTCCTTTGTATTAATCTACTTTTGCTTTAATTATCTTGTTGAAGATTATTGATTTTGGAGGTTAACGTACAACATTGCCTCTAAGATTCTGAACACCATAAAGCCATCATTATAACTCAACTGCAATGCTAAATGTTAGATGTCATCATACACTAAACAAAAATGTCACCTTCCAAAGTCCCATGCTCATCAACGTCTATATACACAAGGTTTCAACTCTGGCCATTCAATGTTAATCACTTTTGAAGCCGCTTCCTGCAACATGGGCAACATAGGCTGTCTTATGACTTGAACCCTCAAATATTTAATCAACAGGAGACAAATGTTTGGATGCATGCAACCCGTATGCAACATTACTTGTTTTATTTTAAAAATTCAAAAATGAAAGATGCATTGGCATGAAGTCGTTTATTTGTTTACCTTTTTCTTAAAGTAAAGAAGAACAAACATTTTGTTTGTAAAGTCCTGCAAATTATAGAAAGTATGAGCATTCAATAAGAGACCATAGCTGATGCACAAAATCAGGACTTATAGCTCTCAAGGCATTCAAGGATACCTTTTAAGAAACCAAAATGCATAAAGAAGTACGTTGATGGGAAGGCTTACCTTAGAAACCAAACTAAAGCCAAGATTCTTGACGGCTATGATAAATTTCTCCGGATCAGTACCTCCATTGTTTGGATCGAACCAGCTTCTTACTTCAGCTATCAATAGCCAGCCACTATACAATAACAATGTAAATGATGTTAACAGTGTGTAATGATATATATAAGCAGCGATATATTAGAGAAAATGGTGTAACAAGCTGAGTATTTTATACAAGTTTAAAGTAATTTGCAAATCATGGGTTAAGAACACTGATTGCTTCCTGAAAGTAACTGGATAAGTTTGTGCCCATTAGTGGAAGACAAAAGACATCAACATCCACTGAACCAAAGTTCAAAGGTGTCTGCACAAGAAAAGATATCACATGTCATAGCAGAGATTAAAGGCTGTTCCGATATTAAATTCACATCAAATGTAAATGAGTACCCAAATTGCCATGGTATATCTTATTCTCTCAAAAATTATGAAATCTAAGTCGATGTCAGGATGTGGAGATTAATGATTTGAAAGAAGTAAACAGCTACAACATTGAGAAGAATTATGAAATCATCTCCCTAATCTCAAGAAGAATAGGAGCAATTGTATTTTAGTGGCAGGAAAGGAAGAAAACGAGAAGATCTAAGAATATCAAAGAGATGGAAAATCAAAGTAGAGAATGAATGAATCTTTGTTGAATTCAACATGCCTCCATATCAAGTGTTCTAGAGGCTTTGTGCCCATGGAGCTGTTTTTTTTTTTACTTTTTTAGTTTTTTTGTGCAGTTACGCTTTGTATAGTGTTTGCACTTAGCAGACACTGAAGCATGGAACTATGTTGATATTTATGATTACTTATACTTCTTAAATCCATCATTATTTTTTGAATGTTTCTATAAAGTCCCCAGATTGGAAAGTTGCCTTGCTTACAGTCTTAAAATCCTTCAGTGCTAGCCGCAGGCCAAATTCAGGAGGAATAATGACATAGGTACTGACGGCGAGGTTTAAACTTTGATGGATCTCTATGAAAAGCCTCACAAATTATCAACAAGGGTCACTATTTTCCTCCACAAGCACATAGGTTCACACACACACACCAAATTCAGGAGGAATAATGACATAGGTACTGACGGCGAGGTTTAAACTTTGATGGATCTCTATGAAAAGCCTCACAAATTATCAACAAGGGTCACTATTTTCCTCCACAAGCACATAGGTTCACACACACACACCAAATTCAGGAGGAATAATGACATAGGTACTGACGGCGAGGTTTAAACTTTGATGGATCTCTATGAAAAGCCTCACAAATTATCAACAAGGGTCACTATTTTCCTCCACAAGCACATAGGTTCACACACACACACCAAATTCAGGAGGAATAAATAGACACTCACCTATGTTGCATGGTACATGTATGGGTACAAGATATGACATATACTTGTAAATGTAGGGTACGGGGACATGGCTATATAAATATTTATATACACATATATTATATAATGGAATTAATAATTTATATGAGAACAATGATGAGAATCAAAATTCTTATAACATTTTTATATTTCTTTTTATTATGCGGATTATGAATTGGTAAATCACTAGTTTTTGATCTAGACATTGAAACGACCTTTCAAAATCATAATTCGGAACCTGACTATGTCCAACGAGTTTCAAGAATTGGATGTGAAGTATAGGATATATGTCAAAAAATGCATGACAAGTGTTTTAAATTAAAACATGTATTGTATAATTGAGTACTTATCCGAATAAATGTATGCATATATGCAAGGAGTTTGGATACGGGTACAAGTATGTGTATGTGCCGGGTATGGGTACGCCTTCAGATTAGAAGTACCTAGGTAACATAGACACTCATATATGTATGTGTGTGTGCGTGTGCGCGCGCGTGCGTGCGTATGTGTAGTAAATTAATCAGAATTATAAATTATAAAGATAGCTCTTTCTACATTAACTAGAAATCCTAAATATATGAGTAGGTGGAACATGGAAATGACATTGGGGTCGCTTGAAATTTGGAGAGAAAATTACTCTCTCTTTTCTGAAAGCTATTTTACTATGAAACCCTTGTTTCCAATCCATAACAAAATGGAAGATGAAAGCAAGATGTTGTAAAAATAAAATTAAGCTTATGATAGGATGCATACATGGAAAAATATGGGGAATGTACTGTAGATTCTTATGTTGTGTTTCACAGTTGAGGGATAAGCAATATGCTTCATATGCCCTTCGCCGAACTCGTCTCAGTAACTCTGTTTGCTCCGAATGTTACTGAGGTTTGCTATAGATTATTTTTAACAAAGGGTAATTTAGCAGAAACACCGTTCATCTATATTCTGTTTTTCAAGGAACCCTATCTATGATCAGCTGTGAAACCATTAGTTTACTAATGGAGTTTGGTTTTTCAGATGTCCGGATGCATGCAGAGTGCTATGTTAGTGATGCAAAGGTTAGATTTTACTTCATTGGAGAACTACTCTTTTCTCTGTTTTTTCTTCCTTCCAACTTGCGCAAACTGTGAACTCTGAAGTAGAAACATCTATCCATACATCCACCCAAGTGCAGATACGTGTCCATATGACTGAAGAACAAAAAATCTATTATAAAAGTAATGGCTTCATTAACGGTCATAGATGATGCTTTTTTTTTTTCATTGAACTTTCTGATGAAGGGGTTTCTTGAAAAAAGACAAGGTACAGATGACGGGGTTTCTTGTGTTTTTCTTAAGAATCTATTTGGAGTTGCTTGGATTATTATTTTTGCAAGATTTGAAGTTATAGAATTGCCTATTCATATATCACACTGAATGATAAAGGCTGATTCCCACAATGGACTAGCTCACATGACTAAAAGAATTGCATAGCATACGTGCTTAATTTTCTCCCTTTCCATTTTACATGTTTTTTAGGCTCTTGGACTGGTATATTCTTTTGCAGGATTATAATTTACAAGTGTAGGAAAATATTTGTTCAATTACCCTTAGATGTAAGCATCTTCATAGTTAATCTTTTAACTACAGATTGATCCAACAAAATATAAGAGCATATTGTCAGGGTTTGGAGTCTTGCTAAAAGAGCAAGGGTTGAAAGGTTTCTTTAGAGGCTGGGTACCAACTCTTTTAGGCTATAGTGCTCAGGGTGCTTTCAAGTTTGGGTTTTATGAATTCTTCAAAAAGCTCTACTCTGACATTGCTGGGCAAGAATATTCATCCAAGTATAAAACCCTCATCTACCTCGCGGGGTCTGCTTCTGCTGAAGTGATTGCCGATGTTGCTCTTTGCCCTATGGAGGCAATTAAGGTTCGTGTGCAGACACAACCAGGGTTTGCTAGGGGTTTGAGCGATGGGTTCCCAAGAATCATCAATTCTGAAGGTGCTTTAGGGTATGGCTCATCACGGAATGTTTTGCTTTTAAAGTTAATTGATTGTTTCTTTTTCCCTGGTTACCAATAGTTTGCTCTGTTTTTGTGAGCTGATATTGTAGGTTGTACAAAGGGCTGGTTCCACTTTGGGGACGTCAGATTCCTTGTAAGCAGATCATTTCATGATACTATTTCTGTCTAATAGATTAATTTCTGCATACTCCTTAGAGAGGATTTCTAGAAGAGCATCAATTAAGTGATTATTTTCCTCTAACTGAAGTTTTCATTCGAATAAATTAGCATGAAAAGATTTCCATTATAATAACATAAACCTAGGCCCTGTAGTTGTTTACTAAACTTTAATATACTTGTTCAACCCTACAGGGGGTCTTTACTTGGGGACTTTTACAAAGAAAGGCATGAGTATACAATGTGTGTATATACCCACCACAATGTGTTTAGAAGTGTGTTTTCTGTGATTAATCCAAAGTGAGTAACTTTATTAGATCCCTTAAGATAACTGCTTAATTAATTATACACTGTATTAGGATTTATAGCCATTTTTTTCATAAATTTGTCATACACTACATTTTATCTACATGCTACCACAAGATCTAATCTATTTTCTTAACATTATCTAAATTTTGGCTTGTCATGTATGCATGCTTTTCTTTAGCTAAAACTTATGCTCAGGTTAAGCTTAGTGCATGAACTTCAGTTAGTTCTTCTACATGTAGAGTGTTAGCTTGAAGATATATCCTTATGAATGTTTTTTCTATCTTTTTTTGTCAAAGCCCCCTGTAACAGTTTCAGGTTTTCTAATGGTTATTGTTTTTGTTGAAGCAGTGTCGACACAAATTGAATCATGATAAATACCTAAATCCAGACCTAGAAATAAAGAGCCTAAAAATAAACTAAAATATACTAACATTGAACAAAATATACCATTAGCATAAGTTTTAAGTATTGGAAATAGCACCATGATCAATTGTCCCCGGCTTGGAAGATTTCATTCTTGGTAAATGATGGTGGCAATAAGTTTTCATCATGTCAGGGTCAAGCTGAGCAACCTTCTCCATTTGACGTCTATGCCGACATATCATGAATTGTTGATAACCTTCATATGCTGTTGAGATGACCTTACTGTCCAAAATGTCCTCAATTTCATAAGTTGTGTGCAGTTCATGTGGTACCAATGGAGATGGTGGAACAAGGACTTTCTGCTGTACTACATGATGATGGTAAGGGATTTAGGAATGTTGCTGCAACAAACATAAGGCTAAAAAATGGGTTAAATATTTGAATTTAAGATCTCAAGTTTATATGCGTCAAAACCAAACTTTCTTACAACTTTATAAGGACATGTTAGATGTTTATCTTCAAAATTTCTGGAGAGAACCTTTCAGGTCGCCCTCCTCATTATAACCTGATCACTAACATATACTCATATTCTTTTTTATGTATATCTAAAACAACTTTATAACATCCATAATTTACATAAATCGGCCTCAGATTTTAGAATGCAGGTCATGCAAATCTTCTACAAATGATTTTATTGACCACCAGCCTTATAACCTATCAAAACAGGAGGTAAGTCTACTACCAATATGCCTCAAAAGGACTCAATTAGTAGTATCTATTGACTGAACTGTTTCAAACTTGGCTAGAGGTACCACTAAATTCCTGTTGGGCATATGATTCCCTACAAGACAATGTAGTAAATCTTAAATACTCCTATTTACTATCTTAGTCTATCCACCAACCTGCAAATAGTAAGTAGTATGTAAACCAAGTGAAATGTTGGGTTTTTTTTCCAGAGTGTCCTCCAGATGTGAGTCATGAACGTAACACTCTCTGAAACAATAGCTTTTGGATTATTGTGCAAGCATAAAACCTCTCAAAATGATAGATACACAATATGTGAAGCATTGTCAATCTTGTTGTCGAGCACGAAATGTGTCATTTCGCAAAGCCGAAAAGCAGCCTTGCTGCAACTAAGTTGGAACCATGCTTTTCTGATTGTGCGAGGTAATACAAGCACAAAGTTCATACAATATCCTGTCAGGTTGGGAAAAGGATAGGCAAAATATGTGTTGCAATGTGGTCTGCTTTCTATCTTCTGCAAAACGACGTGGGGGTAATGAGATACGAATCTTTTGACACTTGGCCAATAAACCATCCACCGTGACTAGTCTTATGACAACCAAAGTCTCAATTAACTCCTGCATGCATTTTCCGTGTCAACTGATCTCTTAAAGAAGTGACGGGATGCCCAAGTGGCCAACTGCAAAGAAGAATCCAAGACAATGGTGAAACCCTCTATTAAAATGGGTCTATCCTGAGTTAAAGAGGTGAAGATTTCACTAAATTCCAAAAGGTATGGAGTCATGTATAAACTGTAGACCAATCAAATCCTACCACTTCTGCACTCATCACCTGCAAAGTGGCAGTCATCCTACTTAATGCATGTACGAGTTTCTTAAAACCACAGATTGGTAGTCTTCTAATTCAACCTAGCTAACTGACATTTGATAGTGGTCTAATAAAACTTCGCTATAGCTCATCTTAGCCAATAAGACTCGGTTATCGGGGATTTATCGGATGGTCAAAATCCATATCGGATAGCAAATATCGGGGATAAGTAGTATTTATCGGAGTGACATTACCGGATGGTGATATACATAATATAATATTCTAAAATGTAATCTGACCATACTTAATAAAATATAAACATACTAAAATATAAATAATTATGTTTAGGATCACTAACCAATGGTAGAAACTCGGGTCGGGTTTAAAGTGCATTGAATATGTGCTCATTGCCCAAAATAAAAACTCAAATCAAAGGCTGATAATTCCGATTTTTGGATTGATAATATCGGTCGATAACTCACTTTATTGCTACATTATCGGCGATAAACATCCAAAAATGATAACCGGTTTACAATCGAACTTATCATAGCGGAAGGCCTCCAAAATCGATAAATCGTCGATAATATCAGTTTATCAGCTGATATTTAAAACATTGCTCTGACGATTATTTGTCATATAATACCAAAAAATATTGTTTTCCACAAAATATTGTTTTATGTTTGCTAATTAATCATTAAAAACATAAGTGTCATGTCATCAAACAATGGAGCTATCGAGTCTTCCTTTTGATGTTGTTGTCTTGGTGGACGTTCCCATGGTACTTATCATCATAGCATTCATTTGGTCCTAGACCCCAGCATGGGCAAGATGACTTCTCGACTCCTACAGCGTGCATGGTCATGTCTAGGAGCCGATCCTCATGCGACTCTGGCTTCTCTTTGATATTAACTAAATGTGTGTGACGATCATTCTTGTGCATCTCTCTTTCTTAAATTCCTTGAGTTATAGAGCGTACTAGGGTTTAGGAATCACAACTTTGACATCACCCCTTACATTTTAATGCTAATTTTCACTCATAAAAATATTATTCTTCAATCTCTAAACTGAAATCAAACTGTTTCGCCATTATATAAAAGACTAAAAATTATGTCTAAATCATGTAGGGACTCAAAATATTTGTAAACCATGTATGGATTTGGACCTAAAAGTAAATAAACTACACAAATTTGGACTTATAGATAAAACATCCTAACACTGAAATAAAACACACACTAAAAATTGGCCACTAAAATAGGCTATACGACCTTGCCCTCGATCAAGAGACTAATATTTGTAATACCTGGAAGCAAGATATCCATCAGACTTGTATTTATAATCTTTAACATTGCCTAAGAGCCTTTGACTATAATTTACCTGGTGTTGGTACCATCTTGGAAGCAGGGGTGGATCTATATACAGTCCAGGAGGGCCACACCCCCCCCTAAATTTTGGGATCCGCCCCTGGCCTCCTGCATCCAACTTTGTTCTTTTCTACATAATTTTGAGAAGTTTTAGTTATAAAAAATTAGATGATGCTTATTTGAATATTTTCTACATAATTTTTGTCTCTGTCTTCCTCTTTTGAAATATTTTGTAGATATTGACGTTGGCTATTCTACTCATTTTGTTTGGGTTGTGGTGTATCTCTTGTGAATAAAATTGCATTAAGAAAATTTTTCTTCTATCTTTTGTACGTGGCTCCCCTCCAAAACTGAAATCCTAGATCCGCCCCTGCTTGGAAGTGCAAGGTCTCTGAGGTGGATGACATTGTGATAGATCATAGATATCCCTTGTATGCATACATCGATTGAGCATTTGTCACAGTACTGCACAAATGAATCATACTACTTGTGTATTTATTTCTTTGCTGTGTACCTTCTCCATTTGTATATGATATCGTGGTACTTTCTATGCTATGTTTTAACCTCATGCATATATACTGTAAAGAGGGAAGTGAAAAAAATTCAAAAAATTTGGCTCAACACTAGCTTATCAAGGCTGGCACCATAGATTTGTCTAGATCAAATATGTGAATGTCGGGTTTCTCTTTTTTCCAATTTTTTGTTCACTAGGAAGATCTCATGTAACATGTCAGTTACAGATTTAGACTGCTATTTGTTTTAACCATTGTAACTAAAACTGTGTTATGACCTATTTTTATTCGTATTTCTTATACTGAAAAGGAAGAATATGCACTGTTGAAGGATCAGAACCCAAAAATACAGTTACACTGTTCTTGTTAAACTTAGTATCCGCTGTCCTCCAATAACCATATGAAATTTTGCAGATACAATGATGAAATTTGCATGTTTTGAGACCATTGTTGATGCATTGTATAAATATGTCCTTCCCACACGGAAGGATAAGTGCAGCAAACCCCTTCAACTAGCAGTAAGCTTTGCCGGTGGTTATGTAGCTGGAGTGTTCTGTGCCGTTGTCTCTCACCCAGCTGATAATCTTGTCTCTTTCCTCAACAACTCTAAGGGTGCAACTGTCAGTGATGTAAGTATAATGTCCAATTCATGCCTATGATTTGATTTTGATATGCTCTGCTGTTATAAGTATTGGTATGATTTATGTGCATATACTATGCAGGCTGTGATGAAACTTGGGTTGTGGGGTCTTTTCTCTCGGGGTCTTACGCTTCGTATACTTATGATTGGTACCCTAACTGGTGCACAATGGGGTATCTATGATGCTTTCAAAGTTCTTGTTGGCCTGTAATTATCTCTACTAATCTCGTTCTCTGTTTTCCCTTCTAGGATTGTTTCGGTTTGTCAATTTACCCTTCTATTTTTTTCCCCAGGCCAACAACTGGTGGTGTTGCTTCTGGTGCGGCTACTGCGTCAGGAAGAAACAAGGCTGATTAGTTGTTACATTGTTTCTGGAAATTTAACACCAATCTTATTACCTCAATTCCGGTCAGCATTATTGAAGCCAATTTGGCTCATTTTTTGAATCTGTCACCTTGTTCTCCTATCTGATGAATGTAATCCTAGTGCTTCGGCATCCATGACATGAGATGAAGTTTTTGTGTCCCCATTTTAGTGCTTCGGTTGAAAGAGGACGTGACAATAATTCCGGAAACAGCGTCGTTCGTTGATTGTAATAAAAAATAAAAAATTTGTTTTGCTGTAATTGGAATTCTTTGTTATTGTTAATAAGCTATTTTTGTGAACAAGCTAGTTCATTTGGCTACACTGTTGGGCTTTATATGGTGGCCAAATGTGTCCCCAAACCCCACCCTTCTTCCTCTTTCCCCTTGGAACGTTACATTGGTCGTATGACAACAGGGGCGGATCCAGGATTTTAGTTCTGGGGGGGCCGCGTACAAAAGATAGATGAAAAATTTTCTTAATGTACTTTTATTCACAAGAGATATACCACAACCCAAATAAAACGAGTAGAATAGCCAACATCAATATCTCCAAAATATTTCAAAAGAGGAAGACAAATATTATATAGAAAATAGTCAAATAAGCATCATCTATTTTTTTATAACTAAAATTTCTCTAACTAAAAGGAATTGTTCCTTAAAATTTTCTAAGTCTTCAATGATAGCATCAGTGCTCAGACTTTTAGCAATTTCTCTTTCAATAAACACCATTAATACGTCGGAGAGGAAAGCATCCTCCATTTTGCTTCAAAGCCTAGTCTTGACGATATTCATAGCTGAGAATGATCGTTCTGCAGTAGCAGTAGAAACTGGAAGAGTAAGCACAAGTACGATCACTCTAAAAATGAGGTCGTATGTAGCAGATTTATTAGCCTTTACCAACCATTGACACAACTCAGAAATGGTTGAAAGAGTTTTGAAGTCTGACTCTTTGACTACATTATGCTCATAATGTTTCAGTTGCATCTTCAAACTCTCTTTTTCTTCACTTGTAAAATCTTGTGCATAAAACTTGCCAACCAATTTGCATATATCTTGTATTCTCAAAGCCTCAGATGCATTTTGAGGATTTAAGGCAGAACTAAGCATGAGCAATTCTATCGCATCTTCACTAAAACGCACATTAATTTCTTGCATTTGTGAATCGATCGCGGCATAAAAAAGTCTACTCGATAATGATGCCCAATGGTGATGTCTTGATGACCACGAGCTCGACGTCGTCTATCAACATATTGAGCACTAAAATCAGGAAATTAATGTTACTAGCCACATAAAAAGACTTCACTTTTTCAAGCAAATTATCCCACTTGTCATCCCTTAACTCTTGTAGTAATCTTTGTAGATGACACAAGATCCATTGCATTCGAAATGTCTTGAGACTTCCTTTGTAAAGTCTGACAAAGAAAATATGTGATCCCCATAATCTCACTCATTAGATGTAAGATAAATACAAAATCGAACGAAGTCATTTCATCATAAACAGATATTGCATCGGCTTGTTGGGAAGGAAGCCCATCCTCCATAACTTTGAGCAACGTCGTACATGCTGCACTGAACATCCTGATCAAACTTGATAATGATCTGAAATGAGAACTCCAACGCGTATCAGCAGCTTGTTGTAAAGTGCCGATCTGATTAAGTCCAGGCCCTGTCTCGAGCTCATTAATAGAAATCAAATGGGCAATGTCATCCGCGTGAGCTTTCTTCAATTCATCATTACGCTTGCAAGAAGCACCAACCATATTAACTATAGAAATTAATTTATTATCAAAAAACATATGAATGAGAGTCAGATTTTTTGTTGCCGCAACAAGAGCCAACTGTAGCCGATGAGCAAAGCAATGAACATAGTAAGCAGTCTTACAATCTTTCATAATCAAAGCTTGCAATCCATTGAATTCACCCCTCATATTATTGGCCCCATCGTAACCTTGACCTCTAATATTTTGAACATCCAAATTGTAATGAGCCAAAGCAGAATATATGGCGTTCTTTAAAGTCAAAGCTGCAGTATTGGAAACATGAACAAGCCCAAAAAAACGTTCTTGAATGAATCCATTAGTGTCCACAAACCGCAACACAATAGACATTTGCTCTTTTTTTGACTCATCACGGGCTTCATCAACAATAATGCAATTCTTGGCAACTCCAATTTCTTCACGAATTGTATTTTTCAATCTCACTGAAAACACATGAAGTATTTGTTTTTGAATATCATGACTTGTATATTTGGCATTTTTGGGAGCTTTCGCAATTGCCTTTGAAAGTTCGTCATTCTCTATGGCCAACACATCCAAAAATTCAAGAAAATTGCCACGATTGGACGAACTAGATTTCTCATCGTGGCCTCTAAATGGATTCCCTTGGAGTGCAAGCAATCGCACCACAAGTATGTGAGCTATTAACCGAAGACGATTTGTTGCAACTTGTTCAGCATTGAAGTTGTCGAATCGCCTTGATATATGCTGCGGTTGGTTCATCAAATCCTCACATATCTTTTCAGCATTACGATGGAGTGAAGATACATTATCTTTTCCTATTTCAATGAAACCCCCTTTATTAATCCCTTAAGAATAACCCCATTTATTAATAAACCCCCTTAAGAATAACCATTCGCTAAATACCTCTCCATAAATTTCCAATTTCAATGAAACCCCCTTTATTAATCTTGTTGCTACTCATGGTAATGTATTTACTATTAATATATACATAAAACCCCTCAAATAATTAATATTCACAAACTAATTTTTTTTCCCCCAAATTAGGAATAGAGCACCCTAATCCCCCCCCCCACCCACCCAATAAAACACCTTAATTTTTCCCCCCAAATTTTGGGGGGGCCGTGGCCCCCCTGGACTGCATGTAGATCTTCCCCTGTATGACAATCGTGTGCAATGTTTTATGCATAATTGGTTCGGAGCCCTCCAAGGACGAGGATGAGGTTTACGTTTCTCCTCCTTTTTATTAATTGGTTATAAAAGGAGGCGTGTGAGGACAAAGGAGGGTCCGAGCGGGAGCTGGGCCAGTAAAACATCATTACTCATAATTAGGCTGCAACTATGACCCAATCCCGTGTTTCTAGGATTTAAGCCTTTCAATAAAACTTCTGGAATTGGAGCCCGCTGCACATCCAAAAAAAGGCCGGCAGATGTTTGGTTCGTCCATTGCATCTTGATTCATGTGATGTATTTTAACATCCCATATCCAAAATGTTGTTTGTTTATAGTAAATATTAAAGATGATTTGAATTGTGTTTAAAATGTGATCAAATTTTGTTTGGTTTGACATGAATTTTGTTAGGGATATGTGATTAAAATAATAAATCCACCTGAAATTAACATAATTTTAGGGGATCACATATAATTCATCTATTCTAAGTTTCTAACTGTCAACCCCAAATCCATGGTATCAAAAATACCAAACAGACCACGCACTTGATAAAAACCTAGGATTTCGAACTTGTAGGTCTTATTTTCTAATACAAACCCAACATGGACACAAACATGGGACCATTGAGCAAGGAGCAGACTCGTCCAACCATACCTGCTGCGGATCCCAATGAGGTATTCCTTGTTGAGACATCCTCTTATCGTAACTTTAGAACACAATAAATCAAATATTATTAAGAATGGGAAGCAACTATAATAAGAAAGTAAGATCCTATAATCCTCAAGATATCCGATTCCATGTACAGTGTAAGTAGGTTTACCGACGAACAAAATTTTGATGGAAGTATTAATATGCAGAGCTAAGTTGAATGGTTGGCAAGGAGGTGTGTATATTGACAATCTGCTAATTAAGTAGGTAAATATATATTCTTATGAAATCGAACCAAGCATTATGCTCGTAATCAAATTGAGATGTTAATCACTTTATTATATAGCAAAGCATTGATATTCTTTGGTGCTAGATATGCATGCGGTACGGCATGGCCAAGAGAAATAATTGATAGATGAATTATTGTTTTAAAAAACTTTTGA